AATGAGCGATGGTATTAACTTCTCTGAAAATCTGACTGAGAAAACCAACTGCTTTTCTGTAACATATGTTGCCCCTTTTAACCTCTAGGGCTCTTGTATGAGGAGAATCATTATAGCATTTCCTTTCCTTTCAGTGTCATAATAAAAATGTGGCTGAACTATGAGTTGTGGGAGTGTTTGTATTGGTGCTGCAGTTAGGAGGTTAGTAATTCCTAGAAATGTTAGTAACTTAAGGAAATTGTGCTGAAGACCTTAGCCAGCTAAGAGCAGCCAGCCTGAGAATTAAAGTATTAGTCAGTGAAATAGGAAAAAAAGAGTCTTGTTCAAAAGAGCATCACTTGAGGTCAGAAATAGATCTAATAAAGAGGAAACGAATGGGACCGAGAAGCCCAAAGGAAATTAAAGAATGAACCCTGCTTGATATAAGAAATAGAGACCCAGTGAAAGAGGGAAAACACCTCCTGAAGCCATTCAGCAGAACGAAATAGAAATAGGATTTAGAATAAAAATAGTAAAACAACATCCACAAAACCCACTTAAGATAAAAGAAGGCAATGGAGAAAAATTAGGACATATTTAATCCAAGATTAAAATGTAAATGAGAAAATATAAAGAGAAAGCAAATTTCAAAAAGATTCAATAATTAGAGACTTTAATATGTGAAAGTGATGCCCTTCTCAACCCACCTCAGCTCCCCGCATACTCCCAGAAGCACAGATTTGAGTAATTTTCTAGGGAAATTGAGCTGTTGTGTGAAAATAGAAAGATGAGCTGAAGCAGGAAAGGAGAGGGGATAAGGCCAATAGATTGAAGCTAAAAAATTCATCACTTGCAAGAAATTGAAATGGGAGAAGTTTTTTAATCCAACAAATTAAATTTTTCCTTCTACATATATTTAGATGAGATATGGGGAAGATAAGATAATGATGAGCTGTCGGCGCCCTTTCGTCATAAGGGGTCCGTATTTCCAGAGGCCAGACAGTAAGAGGAAGCTGGTCCCCAGGAGCAGCTGGGTGGCAATGTCAGGCAAAGCCTGTGGAGGGCAGGGCTCAGCCTAGCCAGGTGGAGGAGGGGATAGTGACCTGGACCCTGAAGGGTGGGGGACTTGCTTGCCGGGCTGGAGAGAGAGCTGGGAAAGCACTCAACAGTAGTTGCCTAAATTTGCAGAGCAGGAAAATGGGGCCTAAGCATGGCTGTTAATGAATTGGTGGTTTGTTTGTCTGTTTCAGTCAAAAATAAATTTCAGTTAAAAAATCAGACCTGTGAAGAAATAGATTTAATTCTTGAGAGCTAAATTTTTAGGAATGGTGAGTTTACCTTGTTATACACCAAAACTTTTTTGAAATGGAAACTTTTTGGAAATTTCTTTCACTCTTTTTTCAAACTTCTCAAATACAGGACTATACATCAAACTCATTTTAACCTTTCTATGGGACTCAGGGTCATCATCATGAACATTAATTATGATAACATGCTGGATGGAGATATTGATGCCCCTAAGCCTGTGAGAATATCAGGTCCTGTGGCTCTGTACTAAATGGCTTCAGGCAACTGCATTTTTCAGTTCTGGTGGCTTTTTAGAGTTATGCCATTTTTTTTTCCTTCTTTTGCTATTAGTATTTCTGCCCTAGAAGTTACACCTTTCCTTTATAATTTTCTGTTTCCAGAGAATTGTGAATTTAGAAACTAGACAATTGATCTTAATTATGTGTAGATTAAGAGCAAGCAAGTGCTGAGGGAAGGTCTGACAATTTTTTTCTAATGGTAATGTTCTAATGTTTAGACTAATATGGACTTTGTGACTCAATTTTGACTACCAGGGAACGTATATTTCCTGGTTCTCAGTTATATTGTCACCACGTAACTGAGTTACAGAAAGGGACCATGTCGTATGTTTCTTTTTGAAAATTATTCTGACAAAAGGCCAAGATTTGTTATGAATTTATTATAGTAGGATGAAGAGGGATTACTAAAACTTGGGAGTGAGTCTAGTTCAAGGACACTTACCCTGTTCAGTTTCACTGCATATTCATCTGCTCAACTGATCTGTTTGAAACTGGAATCATGGGCACCCTCCCCTTGAATCACTTTCAGCTCTGGCACAGGGCTCCGCTGGGCTAGGACAGTTCCACCTCCCTAAGACACAGACTTTTGCACTCACAAAGATGTCTGGCTTTGAAGTTCAGGTGGATAGCATTTTTTATGATAGTAGTGAGTTGGTACTTTGGTCTTTTAAATGGAAGATTTGTCTGAGAGGCATTCTGGTATCTGGATTTCAGCTATGGGTTCGAAATGCAGCTTTGCAGGAGGACTGCCAGAGATCACTCTTATGAAAGTTCTCTCACTACAGTTATGACTTTTAGGCCCCAGAGTCTTATAATTATGGATCTGGTCTTGCAATTATGTATTACATCCACCTGATTATTGCCATCATCTAGGAATTGATTAAATCCTGTGGAAAACTAAAGATAATAAAAAGTTGTCCTCTACGTAGACTTTTTTGATTTATATTCCAGTCTCCAGTCCTATGGCATGAATGCCTTTGATACACATGAAGATATCTAGTACAGATCTTATGTCCTCTGTAGTTCAAGTGGGGAGGTTTCCTACTTCTACTAGGTGCCTGCAGGGAGAGAGTCAGAGGCAAAGCAGAGGAGTGGCCAGGGCTTCATTTGCATCACCTGATTTTGAATATGCCCCTGTAGAATAAATAGTACCTTTTAGTAAGCTGCTTGGAGTGCCGTTTAATTAAAGGCTCTTCATTGCAAATACCACACCCTATTCCTTTAAAGACTCTGACTACTGATTCTTCTCGTAGAGTTCCCTCCCTATGAATCACTTCAAGACACATAGAAATAAAATAAGATGTCATTTTAGTTAGTTATTTAAGGAGATTGTTTTGAGTATTATCTGCATGAAGAACTCTGTATTAGATCTGGGAGGCTACAGTCTTGTTAGAGGATACAGTTAGAAGAGTATATGATTCAATGACAGGGCTAATCCTCAGCAAAACCATGTGACCAACTGATAATTCACTTGACAACTATCTGTTGAGTCTTCCTTGGGTGATGTAAGATGTACAAGACAAAGCAAAATGCCAAACAGTGTGAGTTGAATGTTTAATCTTGTAATAAAACTTACCAAGGAGGATTGGCCTGGTGGAGGTAGGTTTCATGGAGATAGGACTAGAAGTGGTTTTGAAAGGCCAGGAGGGTTAGGTGAGCAGAGAAAAGTGGAAAGGAGCAATAGGAGAGAAAGAAGGAAGGCATAAATGAGAATAGTGTGTTTCAGGGCCAGCCAGAGCATCAGCATGCCTTGGGCGCAGGATGGGGGCAAACTACTGAAGGTGGTCAAAACCAGGCCGTGTGTTTGAGGCTTGATGATGATAATTGAGAGCTGTTGAAAAGTTTGAGCAGAATAGTGTTATGATTAAAGCCATGCTAAAGAAAGATTAGTTTGGCCTGTGAACTGGATGAAATAAAGTCAGCAAAAGGGCTGTTACAGTAATCTAGCTGTAGGTTTCCAAAGGCCTAGACTAGGATGGAGCTAATGAGAATTGAGAGGAAATCAATAATATACAACAATTTTACTTTATGTTTATAACTGGAGAGGCCATATTCTTAAGGTTTAGTGATAGTTGAGATACAGGAAGACCCTCCAGATGTAAGGGACCCTTCAACTGTCTGGCAGGTTAAGCGAATCAGAGAGGAGCGAACATTAGGAGGGGCAGGAAAGATGAGGGAAAATCTACAACATAACATGAGGACATGTTTATAGTTCAGTAAAGTAAATAAAACTTTAGCATGGCTTCCTCAGAATTTGGCAAGGCATAGAAAGAAGGTAAGAGAAGCCTTGACTTTATTTGTAGTTTAAAAAGAGTGTTCAGCTTTCAAGGAGAACTTTATTCCTCCTTTATTATCAACGACACACCACCATTCTCTTGATATCCAAACCAGTGTCCAAACTGGAAGTCCACTTTTTTCTTTACTCTTTTCCTTAATCTCTGTATCCAGTCACCTAAAACTATGTAGTCTTCCTTTTAAAAGTCTACTTTATTATTATCCTGTCCTCAGCATTCCTGATGCCTCTCTGCTAAGCCCACTTACTCTTAATATTTCTTTCATTGGATATTGATAACTGACCATCTTAAAAATACTTAGGTGAAAGGGGTAGTCCATGTTAGCATTTTACTTGTCAAAGCATAGTAAAAAGTAGAGAGACATGAAATTTTCATTGATGAATCAATTTTTTTCTCTAACTATCTAATTAAAACAGTTGTCTGACTTTGTTGCATTCTGAATAGAGGCTACTCGCCGGGGACCCTAATAGTTGCCTCTTTTCAAGATCTAATCCAAGTAGGGAATCTGCACATCTTATAAATGACAAGGAGGGGCATCCCAGCTTGAACCAAAGGATGATGAGAGAGAAAAGTTAAACCCACACCTTGGATGGCATAGATGAGGCACTGCGTGAGCCTTTTATCTCTCCAGAGGTGCATCCCTTTCTGGAGCAAGAGCCAGCTGGGCTTCCGGAAATGGGTTCTTGGAGACTTCTGGAAAGGATGACCCCAGAGTCTTTTCCATTATTAGAGTGAAGCACAGAAGACAGAGAGCTCCTGGCCATTAGGAAAACCTAGACAAGAAATCCTTTTTTTTTCTGTATACGTTTTCTTAGTCCACTTCCCTGGAGCATAAAAAAGTCAAAAACATCTTAAGTATCATAAGATTTATCAGCTGTATTATGTACTTGCAACGTAATTTACCTAAAGCAGTGTGGTAACCAGAAGTATTTCAAGATTATCAAATATAGCATAATGCAAACATAATGTAATTAAAATAATTATATTCTGACACCATTCCTAAAGCATAAGGCTAGGTTATGATATTAAGTGTTAGCATTCTTGATATGATTCATATCCATATATTTATGGTTTAACACAGCCAATCTGAATATTTATGACATTATTTTCAGCCAGTAAGAATATCCATTCTATTTTTCAGCTTCTCCAGTTGGCAACGGTTATATCAAGCCTCCGGTTCCACCTGTTTCTGGCACACAACGGGAGAAAGGGCCGCCAACCATGTTACCCATCAATGTGGACCCAGACAGCAAACCAGGAGAATATGTCCTCAAGAGTTTATTTGTCAACTTCACCACTCAGGCTGAGCGCAAGATTCGCATCATTATGGCAGAACCCCTGGTGAGTATGCGCCATGAAGTCCACTTCTTTTTAAATTCATCTTTACACTGAATATAGTAGACTTTACAGCTCTAAGAAAGGATAAATTGCTTTTCCCCTAATTTCTCAAGGTTTTTTTTTCACACCTTAGATAATTTTTTAAAGATTATAGTTAAGTGTCCTGATTTAAGAAGAAAAAATTGAAGACTGAGGACTTGAAGACAATCCTCAGCAAATACAATTCAGTAGCACGCTTCACTACTACATTTAGGACTAATAAGCATAATTTAGCAATAAGAAGGATTAATCATTGAAAAACTGTGTTCAGAGTCTCGCTATGTATATATACTTTGGTCAAAATCTTTTGTCCTATTTTTAAAGTAAATTAGAGGGCTGGCCCTGTGGCTTAGCAGTTAAGTGCGCACTCCGCTACTGGCGGCCTGGGTTCGGATCCCGGGTGCGCGGGCGCGCACCAATGCACCACTTCTCCGGCCGTGCTGAGGCCATGTCCCACATACAGCAACTAGAATGATGTGCAACTATGACATACAGCTATCTACTGGGGCTTTGGGGGAAAAATAAATAAATAAATAAAGTAAATTAGAAAAAACAATTATTGTTCTTCAGGTGGCTTCCTGGACTCCCAGTTTGAGAACATGAGGTCTAAGTGACATATTGTCCGAGGAAGTTTTCTGGTGAATCGTTCAGAAATGCCACGTTGATTTCTAAAACTGGAAGAGAGGGAATTCTTGACTCACTCACCTGTAGGTCCCTTATTAGACAGATAATGCCTTTGGACATTGGTATCTTTCTTTGCAGATGATTCTGCTACAAAATAAGGCGGATTTCAGTTAATTGCCTAACAAGGTCTTTAAAGACAGAGGGCTGAATCTCAAAGGGACTGTTCAGGAAGGGAGAAAATCCACTTGGTAGGTTCAGATTACTTGTTTTCTGACCTTGGCGGGGCCACACACAATAAGAGAAAAAGAAAGGAATTCAGAGTGACGCAGCTCTGTCTATGAAGCAGGGCCTTGTCCCTCCCGTGAGGGTACTGGGGCACGAGAAGACAGTCTGAGGTTTGCTTTACGGCATCAGAGCTTAAATAATTAAATGTAATGTTATTGAGCCTATAACACAAGTCTCAAAATATGTAACAGATGATGCTCAACATCATCTGTTAAAAATGACCTTTATAAGAATCACAACTTAAGGTTTGGGAATCAAAATTCAAGAATATTTGTTAAGTGTGTGGTTACCTGAAAGTTACAAACTTTGCATTTTAACGTTTGTATTAGATCAATGGAGATTATCTTTGTGAATTCTAATTTATTATTATGGAAATGTTTCTTGGTTTTGCAATTTAACACAAAATGTTTAATGATTTAAACATTTAAATTAAACTCGAGTACAGTACACTCATATTTTTATGTTACTACTACACTTATTACTAATAATAGCAGATCATTCTGGAGTAGTTACTATGTGCCAGGTACTGTGCTTAATTTATTATCCCCTTTAATCTTCACAGTGACCTGAGGTTGTAGTATTTATATCCCCGTTTACAGATGGGAAAATTTGGCACAGAAAGGGTAAAGTCATTGCCCAGGGTCACCCAGTATTGGTTTGAATTCAAGCTGGGTGACTTCAGAGCCCACCTCTGAACCACTCTACACTCTATTGCTAGTCTTTGCGAGATCATCTTCATGTAAAGATACTTTCTTTAACTTCTTAAAACAAACAACATAGGGCTCTCCTATAACTCAAGTCAGCTCAAAATCATGTACCCACATACCCATTGCCTAGAACAGTGCTGATCTTCTGAGCTCCTTGAGAGATGCTGGGATGGCCCAGACTCCATCTCCCTGGTGGAGGGTGGGAAGCCGCCTGGGTTCCAGAGGGCATGGGGGAGTTTAAGGAAGAGAGAGTGGTAAGGCATGTCAAAGACAAAACTGAAACAGTTTACTAACGAGTTTGACATCTGTTATTCAACAGAAAACAGTCCATGGATTGGGGAAGTACAGGCCTCACAAGCAGTGGAGCACTGTTCCCAGGGGTTTGGGGGCAAGAGCCAGTTTTATAGAGCCTTAGAAGAGGCAAGGCAGAAACGGCACGAATGCTCCGGGGTCAGGGATTTCCTTATGAAGCTAGCAGGTTCTGTTTTCTAGGGTAAGGGAGGCTACCTAAAGCTGAGTTGGAGGATTGTGGTTGGTGTATGGGAGGGTTCTTTGACAGATGTTTCCCATAAGTGCAGGCTGACTTAGATGTAGGTTTGTGACGAGGGCCGGGTCCCTGGGGCAGCCTTCATTTTGTGGGTCCCGATAATATGAATTAACTTTGTCGGGCACAATGAAGAATCATTTCACTCCTGTACTGTAGAAAAGTGCAAAAATGGCAGGTCAGGGCTCTCTGAAACTGTGTATCATGGTGAATTTTTCCGAGGAACTGGGAAGTTGTACAAAAGTTGAAAGAGATGCTTAGAAGGCTAGGCCCTGACACCTTTTGTGCCATCCCTGCTTCCAAAATAATAGTTTGAATACTGTTATTTAAGAATTTATGAAGTAAAATAGTTTGGGTTTAACTTTTTTATCTTTATTCAGCTTGGAATTCATTTGGTAGCATTTTTCTTCCTGGAGTAAGCATTGTGTCTGAAAAACTAACGTGTGCCATGGCATTCTTTTAATTAGAGGTGGAGAGTTTGTTCCTTTCTGTGAGACTTAAATGTCCCCAAACAAGAAAAACTGCAAAGAAAATGTATAAGTCCTCTTCATCAGCAAATTTTCATTGTGTGCCTAGGGTGAGAGTCTGCAAGATGCTGATGGCCAAGTAGAAAGACATTATGTTTTTAGCTGAAGAAATGTATTCAATCAGTTTTTAGTATTGTTGCTTTTTATAAAAAGAGACTATTTATTCCCTTGTATTATTTGGCAGAGATGTAAGCTTCCAGGCTATCTCCATTTCTTGTCTGCTCAAAAATGCTTGGTAATTTTTTGGCAGAGCTGTAAGCTTCCGGGCTATATCTGTTTCTTGTCTGCTCAAAAATGCTTGGTAATTTTTTGTCCTTAAATTTGCTTACTTCTGGGACAATAAATGTGAGTAGACTCTGTAGCTTGTTACCTGATTCTAAAATTGCAAATGTGCATTTGGTGTTTTGTTCTGTAGCCATAACAAGAGGTATTATTTCTGACATATGTATAGTACTTTAAAGGGAATTCCAATAAATGTCCCTTACTATTTCTCTTGCTGAGTCAGCTTCATTTAGAAAGATATTGAATCCTTTAAAAGCCTGAACTTAAATTAACGTGGGTTTGTATCAAATCACAAACTTGTATTCTGTTGTCTTTAATATAATTAAAACTTGTATGGGAGTGGCAAGAGGAGTTTTCAAAAATTTGGAAGTATCAATTTATTATTTATGGAGCTACTCAAGAATCTGTATTTTTCAGTTTTATTTTTAAATAAATCCTTCAGAATTCTACCCCAGTTAAACAGGCTATGTAGGATCAATTATGTATAAAACACTAAATTTAAAGTTTTACTTATAATTTCCAATATCTAAATAGCTAACTTTAATGAAAAAAAAAAACAGGAAACAAAAATGTTCTACCAAAATCAAATTTTAGATTTTTTTCTTTGTAAAAATCTTTCACTTGTTCAGCAGGATTGTTCTTTGTACCCAAAAGATGCTCAAGTCATATTTATTAATATTTATCTATGTCAATAATTTTGTTCTATTTTTGTTGCTTCAAGGGGACATTTGATAGCATTTGCTCTTGTCCAGTCTTGCCGTTATTTTGCCTTTCCCCAGCAAAGTGTTTTTAAAAAGCTAAATTGGGTCATCTGTGTCTTTCTTACGTTTTTACTTTAAAGCCGAAAAAGTACAGAAAATAATATAATGGATGCTTTTCCTTCTTGCCTCCAACTCCTTCCCTCTGGTTTAAATTTTCTTCTTCCTAAAGTATATATATTTTGGAGTTCTTTATGTATGAGTGAGTGGATGGTAAATCACTCAATCCTACTCATGTAAGATCTTTATTTCTTTCTCAATTATCAGTGATAGTTCAGCTGGAATAGAATTCTAGGTTGACATTTTTTTTCCCTCAATACTTCTGACAATATATGTCACTCTGTTGCCTCTGTCATTGCTGTTGAAAAGTCTTTGGTTGATTTGTTATTCCTTTGTGGATTATTTATTTTTTACCCTGTTTGCTTCTATGGTTTTTCTCTTTGTCTTCGGTGTTCTGCAGTTTCACGTCATTGTGTTTGGGTGTGGATTTATTTGTATTTTTCTGTTTGAGACTCTCATGCTTCCAGAATTGAGAGTTTATGTCTTTCATCAGTTCTGGAAAGTATTTAGCTGTTAATTATTTGAAAATTGGCATTCCTTCACTTACCCTGCTCTCTCTTTCTGGCACTCCTATTAGATGTATATTGGACCTTCCTGTGCTATATTGCATCTTTTTACTCTTCTTTTATTATTTTTACCTCTTTTTCTCTCTCAACTGCGTTCTGAATAATAGTCTCAGGTCTATCTTCAATTGCTTAATAATTCTTTTGGGCTATGTCTGATCTGTTGTTTAACCTGCCCATCGAGAATTATAATTTTGATGACTATATTTTTTATTTCTAGAAGTGCTATTTGGTTCTCTTTTAAAATCTGTTTAGGTGGGCTTTTTTAGGTTTGTTTTATTCCTTTCTTAACTTTACAATTTTTATTTTCTGTCTTCAATCACCTTGAACATACATTTTTTATGTTCTTTTTTAGATTATTGTTCTATTATATCAATATTTGGGGGCCTATACTTCTTTTTATTGTGTTTGATAACTCTTGCCTATGGTGAATTGTTTGTTTAGGTACTTTGAAATTTTTCTTTGTGTATTCTTTAATGAGGCTTGTTTTTCTGTGAATCTTCTTGCAGGCATGATTGTGGGAGTGTTCCTCCAACATGGTTTTGCTTGTGCTCCTTTCTGTTGCCCCAGAATTATCACTGTCTGAGGCCAAATATTATGTTAATTTCTTAGTT